TTTACTTACTGGAAATCACTGATTTAAGTTTTATTACTTTCAGAGTTACTGGAGATTTATATAATTGTTAACTTCAAGATCTATGAAATTAGTTAAGATGCATGTAAACTAACCTGAACATCCACATCAATAAAAAAAAAATTATTATGGAATGTTATTAAAATATAAAGTATTAAATAATTATTTAAAAAATGACATTCACTACTATTATATTATTGTTATTATTTTCTTTTTATTTTATTTTTGAACAATTGACTAAGCATGCTCAAGTTAAATTTTTTTTTTTGTTATAAATATATTATGTATCTAATAACAATGCTTGAAAATATATAGGATAAAAAATTATACGTACTTGACTTCTTATCCAACACCTTCATTTCTTGAATTCTACCCTTTGTTTGATGTCCATCATCCTCCCACATAAAATGTTCCCTTTTTTATTATTATTATTAGTATTATTATTCGTGTGTGAAAAAGGTATAAAAAATCATTATTCAAATATGTTATATTATGTATTTGATTCAAATCCGGAATTCAGATCCTATTTTAATAATTTCTTAAAACAAAACCCCATTTTAATTGATATCTTTCTTTGTTTTTTAGCAAGAAATGGCTCTCCAAAAAGAAACAAGCAAGGGGAGGATATTTTACCCAGTTTACTAGATTAACCAGTCCCTTACCACAAGATTTTTTTAGAACAGTTTACCCATTAAAACTTAGCAAGAGTAGAGGAAGGAACCCTGTTAATATTTCTCAGGAAAGGAGGTTCATTATGCAAGTTGATCAAATAATTTGTCACAAGATTCAGTCAATTTAAAATTATCTCTCTATTCAAAATCCGTCTTATCTTATTAATGCACTTCCCTCGTAGATTGTTTTTACCTGGTTATTTATTTTTTAAGACAAAAAATAATTAATATTATAAACTCAAGTTTAATAAAAAAATATTTTAATAATGTTGACATGAATATATTAAAATATATAAAAATAAATATTGCTCATGGGATGTGGTAGGTAAATTTTTAAAATTTATTTTTTATTTAATTATATAATAATAAAAATAAATTTGACTAATAATATTGAAAAGATAATGAGGAGCTACACAAAAAGATATTCACTAATATTATAAAAAAATACTATAATTTTATTGGAAGACAAGGTAACAATAAAATAGTATTTAATAAAATAATATACTAAATATATTTTAATTTTTTTATTTTAATTAAGTGTTATTAAAATAAATAAATTAAAAAAAAAAACATAAAGGCTTTCTTTAAAAAAAATCAAGTGTTCGTGTATGGTCTAGTGTTATTAAACCCGGCCCGGCCCGACGGGTTGACCTGGGACCCGGTCTACCCAGTGGCTGGACTGGTTCGGGTTTAATAAAAGACTGGTTATGGCAACAACCTGGCTAAACTCAGGTGACCCGGCGAGTCAACCCATTACCTGGGCGACCCGGGCAAACCCGGACGAGATCCAGTTTCTTTTTTCAAATGTGATATTTAAAACCCATTAGTATATATACTCTATGTTTCCAAGAAAAAAATCATATTTTTTCAATATAGAAAAAAAAATTTGGTTTAAATACTTCAACTTAAAATGATAACATAGTATATTTTCAATGTGAGATTTGAAAACCTTTCGTATATATACTCTATGTTTCTAAGAAAAAAATCATGTTTTTTCAATGTGGGATAAAAAACGTTTTGATTTAAATATTTCTACTTAAAAAGATAATATAATATCTTTTCAACATGGGATTTGAAACCCTTTCGTATATATACTTTATACTCCTATGAAAAAAATAATGTTTTTTCAATGTGGGATTTGAAACCCATTAATATATATACTCCATGTTCCAAAAAAAAATCATATTTTTTCAATGTGGGATAAAAAATCTTTTGGTTTAAATACTTCAACTTAAAAAAATAACATAATATTTTTTCAATATAGGATTTAAAATCCTTTTGTATATATACTCTATGCTCCAATGAAAAAATCATGTTTTTTCAATGTGGGATTTGAAACCTATTAGTATAAATACTATATGTTCCCAAGAAAAACATTATGTTTTTTCAATGTGGAATAAAAAACTTTTTTGGTTTAAATACTTTAACTTAAAAGTTTAACATAATATCTTTTTAATATGGAATAAAAAAAAATTTAAAATATTTTTGTAAACTTCATTGTTTACAATATGTATAATTTATATTTAAATAATTTTTTTATATAAAATATTAATTTTTTTTTTAATTTTTCTAAATCGACCCGAGTTAATTCAAGTTGACCCATAAAACTTGAAACCCGACCCTTTAACCGGGTCAACTCTCAAACCGACTTTAATAACTATGGTATGATTTCTAACAAAGGAGGACAAGGGAGTGAACCGCGTGTCATGACCTTCATATATTTTTTTTTGATTGGGCGTTGTTCGCCCTTTATATATATATATATATATATAAAAGAAAGTAGATTACTCATCGTCTAATAGGTGGCTTTTTTGAGGATCTAAGATGGCTAAAAAGATGTTTCTCGGCCTCTTGTATCTAGAAAAAATTATTTTTATCTTTTTTTCACTTAAATATATTAAAGAAACACTTTATAAATTTCAACAAATCTATGTATAATTGCTCATCAATTTTTAATCAATCAAAAATAAAAAACTCTTCTTAAATAAAAAAATAATTCTTGAACCGTAATCTTTTTTCTTTAAGGATGAAAGATAAAAACATTTAAATAAAAATTATTTTCATCAAATAAAACTTATTAATGGTAGCCAACTAACATCTTTTTTTTTTCTTTTTCTCTTGATAGATAATTGTTTTTCTGTATTTTTTTAAATAAAATATTTTAAATGTTGAAACATGAATAAAACTCATGCAACCAACAACCTTTTTCTCCCCTCCACTTTTTAGATGATTATTAAAAAAAAAAAAATCAAAGGCACAAACATGAATAAAATAAAATTTTAAACCACAACATTATTATAAATTAAGAGAACCCTTTCTCACAAAGTACTATTCATTGGAATAGTGCTTTGTATTTTTTTTATTTTTTTCAATTAATATTTTTTTTAATTTTATCTTTTATTATTAGATTTTTTTATTTAGTTATCACTCTTTAATGACATGAATCCTAAGTTTAGTAAGTTAACGTAATTTGACGGGTTAGCCTAGTTGACTTCGATTTCTTTTTTTTTTTTGTATTTTTTTTTAATTTCATCATTTAATATTGATTTGATTAAAAATTAAATTTTATGATTTGTTTTGTTTACTTTTCATCATGCTATACCAGCCTCATGATTTAAGAATGGTGCTTAATGGCTTAACCCGAGTTAACTAGAGTTGTTTTTTTGTATCTTTTATTTAATTTATTTTTTTAATTTTTTCATTCAATACTCGATCGGTTGAAAATTAAGTTTCATAATTTATTTTAATATATTTTATATGAGAATATCTTAGCCTCACGATCAAGGTCACACGTTTTGGTATTTTGACCTTGATTAAATCATGTCGTTTTTATGTTTTCTTTCTAAGAGATTATATCAGTCTCGTGACCTGGGTTATGAGTTATATAATATTCTTATAAAAATGAATATTAAATCATGTTTTGGTATATTGGTCTCATGACCCGGTTTCACAAGTTTTTGTGTTTTGATCCTGGTTATATCATATTATTTTTATATTTTCTTTCTAATAGATTATATCGGTCTTATGACTCGGGTCATGAGTCTATCAATATTGAACTTGCTTTTTATTGAGTTGTCCTAGTCTAATGACCTAGACCATGGGTTTTGTGAGTTAACATAACTGACTTATTTTTTTAATTAGATCTTATTTTTTTTAATTTCATTAATTAATATTATGTTTGATTATGAATTAAACTTCATAATTTATTTTGTTTTGTTTTGTTTTTTATTAGCCTATCCTGGTGGATTGACTCAGGTTGTTTTTTGTGTTTTTATTAATTTTTTTAATTTCATCATTTAATATTAAGTTGATTGAGAATTGAAATTAGTCATTTTTATATTATTTTTTTATGAGATTATTTCGGTCTTTTGATTTAAGTTGCTAGTTTGACATGTTAACTCAAGTCATTTTTTTAGGTTTCTTTTTAATTAATTTTTTTTTAATTTCATCATTCAATATTTGATTGATTAGAAATTAAATTTCATAATTTATTTTGATTTGTTTTCTATAGAGCTATCATTATTTCACAACTCGGGTCGCAAATTTAACATGTCAACCCGGGTTGTTATAGGTCATTTTAATATGTTATTATTTTAATATTATAAAAAAATATCATTTTAAAATTTTGTTTACTCAAATATTTTTTTTATGAATTGTTTTTGAATTAATAAAGTTAACTGAGTTACATTGTAAAAACCCTCATACAATTTATTTATTTTTTCTATTAAGAAAAAAATATTAACAATATATAGATATTTTTATTTGATATTCAATTAACAAATTAATTTGACGAGCAATAATCATCTTCGTAAAAAGACTAAAATAGCAAATAAAAAAGTCTAACCTTGTCGCACAAATTTCAAATAAGTTACGATTTTTTTTATTTTTGGTCTATTTTATTTGTATCTTTACGCTAAGAATTCAAATCAATCCGTAATCAAGTTCGGAAATTAATCAAAACCTTTTAACTTCCAAGAATATACAAATTGAAAATATCATAAACTAAAAACAACACCTTCTTAATTGACCCACACTAATTGATATAATTAAATGAATATAGAAGTTGTATATATTTTTTTAAAATTAACCAATGCCATTGATTGATCAACTAAATTACAACCTCTGTTAAAATTAAAGAGAAGCTGTCCAATAGTCCAACTTGAGCTCCTTCTTCGTTTTGCTCGTTTTCATGGGCCGCTCACCATTTGTTTTTGGTGCCGTTGACAACAGAAAGAGAGAAAGAGGGTAAAATTCTTAACAAGTCAAGCTGTAGACTTTTGATGCAAACCATAATTATTGATTAACCACGAATTACACATAAGCGGATGAAACTTCTACCATTTCCCGACTAAGTTCGTTAATAAGCTCCGCCACCGCTTTACTGTCACCTAGCTTGCTAACAATAACTTTATTTTCAATGAGCAAATCCACATCGTTTTCAAGATCCACCAGAAAATCTAGTAGCTTAACATAACGGCAAATGTACTCTTCTCCTGGATAATGTAACTGCTCCAACGCAATGAGGTTTCGGAGGAGACATTCGGTATTGTTGTCGATTTCAAGGGAAGGCATAAGTAACTTACCTTTCTTATCTGAAAGCGGTGTCTGAACTTTCGAGAGAGGTTTCCAGGCTCTAATGTCAAGCAGGGATACATTCGGCAATGGCTTGAACTTAATTCCTGCCTGATGCAGCATTGTTGCGCTGTAAAGAGTTTTTATCGGTTCTGCCTTGTCAATTTTTAAATCCGGGTGCTTGAATGATAGAAAACATCTCACCAAATCTGTGAAATGTAGTATTTTTTGGCTGGGCTCGGATGTCTTTCTGTACTTATCAAAGTACCGGAAGGAAAGGTACATGAAAGGTTTGCAATCGGTCGTGCTCATCGCACAATCATATAATTCATTGAGAGTAGAGAATGGCAGCTGATTTTCAAGCAATATCAAGTCCCGTCGAATCGCAGCTCTCAACCAGGGTTGGCCTATTATAAAATCGTCTTGATATTTGCTGCTATCACCCAGGTATTCTTCATTCCTCAAGAAGAGCTCGAAGATGAATACAGCATCTAACAGAACCATCATCACAAACTGATCGCCGCTAAGCTTCGAGGAATCAGCTGCATAGCAACGGCGTATGTGATCTTCTTGACCTGAAATGGTTCTCAAAAGTGTTTCCAAAAGTTGTTCTTGCTCCCTTTCCACTCTCAGTCTACAAAATTCTTTCAGATATCTCCGTTTCTGAATTTCCATAGCCACCAATTTTTCGCTATAATGATGAATAGGGCCTATAGAGATTACTCGAGGAGTGTAGGCATCTTCCTTTCGATCACGAAGTGCTGAAGGAACTTCATAGAAACACTGCTCAGACCGAAAGCTAGTCTCCAAGTCATCTCGAATAATAATTAAAATATCTTGGCGCAGCTTTTCAATTGGAATTGAAGGGCTTTTTAATCGATCGTTTTCTCCCATTTGTTGAAGTTTTCTGATCATGTGACAAATAAACAACTAATTAAGGAACATGAACAGTAATGAAATTAACTTCAAATTAAGCAGCAGAAGGAAAAGGTACTAAAATAAACAAGCAAGATAATAATCAGTATTGCCGTACTTGGGGTTCGATTTAAAAAAAATCTCATGGCAACTTATTTAATTATACATGAAATTATTCTGTCTTTGGAAGCAAAATTAATGGAACAAATTAAGGACATGAACAGTAACGAAACAAAACTAGCTAATACGCAAAGAACATTAGTACCTTGGTCTGAAAAGCGGAGGCTCTTGATTTCCTGGATGCTGTACTAATTCGCCCTCGACCTTTGTCTCTCTTGTATTCCTCAGTACAAGTACGGATGAGTTCTCCTGTCTTTCCACCCTCGTTATACACCCTTTATTTATAGGCAATATTCAAGTTTAATTCACTCTTTATTTATTAATTAGGAAAATGAGTGTAAATGTATAATAATTTTAAGGGTGTTGTTTAAATGATCAAATTTTAAATTTATTTTTTAGAAATTATAGTATCATAAATTTTAGAGCTATTAAAAATTTATATGGTCATTAATTTCAGAACCTTAAGAGATTAGTTGAAATGCATGTAAACTAACTTGAACATTCAAAATTAATAAAAAAAAAAAGTTTAATGGCAATTGACTTTTTATTGATTTATAACTTTTTTATATCCATGTCTAAAAGCACAATATCTCATTCAAATTATAATATCTTTAATATTAGGGTTTATAAAATAAAGAAATTTTATGATATTTATGTTATAACTAGTCAAATTCTAAAATTATAGTTTCATCTTAATGAAAAAGGTATAACATTGTTAAATAATTAAAAACAATGTCATGTTATTAATAAAAAATCATACTTTTTTTCAACTGACCTTTTCTCTTCATCTCTTTCAAAAAAGAAAAACAAGATTGAAAAAAGAGAGGAAAAACAACACAAACTTCCTTTATGTCAGTTGGGCTTTGAATCTCATCAAAACAAATTATCATGTTATTTAATTGTATTTAATTAAAATATTTAAAAATTTAACAAAAAAAAAACCAAAGTAGAAAAAAAACCCATGCAGATCTAACTCCTAATTTACTTTTTTTATTAATCAACAAGAAAATCCACCAAAAGCTTACAACTTTAATTTCAAATCTTGGTTTTTCATTCTTTATACAAAAAAAAAATTATAAACTAATAAAAACTCATTTTTCTTGATCAAAGTATTTTACCTAATTCTAATTCATTGATAACTATTTCTTCTTTCTATGGTTTGTAAAATAAAAACACCTATACCATTTTTACATAAATAGAGACACTTCGTTGAAACAATAAAGGTTAAAAGGAAGTAACAAAGCTAAGACATTTTTTTAAAGGAGGTGACATTGTTTTTAATTATTTAATTATATAACATGTTTTAACTATTGAAAATTTAATTAAAAACATGGTTAATCAATATTTGAAGTCAAATTAAAAATGGAGTCTACTCATTTTTCACTACAAATTTGTTAATCTGATTTTCAACAAACTTTTTAATATAAACATTAATACTATTTAAATAAATTATGGTTAATATATTTTGATGAAATCTAAAACCCTTTAAAAGTACTCTATCCCACATATTAAAAAAAAAAAACAATTTTCTTGATCTTTATAAAATGGATAATACAAAAGTTAAAATTGAACCTAAAAGGCACCCAGGTTTTTAAAGAAGAGAAGTTATGGAAAAAATAGGTTTTGAGCTTAAATCCACAAGTGCTTGCATGTCGGCTCAACTCAACTTCAAGCTTGGGCTTGATTGTGGGTTTGAGTTCATTATAAAATAATTTTTTAAATCATAAAAAATTATTTTTTACCAACTTAAATTTGAACTTGGATTTGGTCTATGAAGAATTTTTTTTTTTAGCCTAGCTCATTATTTATCCAACCCATAAAAAGAAGAATCTAATCAATTTTCTTTTTCAAAACTCTTTCAACATAAATAGATCTTTTAGCTCAAAAATCACATGATTTAAATAAAAAATATTTATTTTTAATTATGACTTATAAAGGGTAATACAAGCGATTAGTAGGAATTCTATCAGCATTTGATTTCTAAAATTCATTATAAAAAAAATAGAAAAGATTCAATGCACTAATTTTAGGATGCAAATCTCGGCTGATTTGCAGTAAAAAAATATGATTAAGAAAACTAAAATATTTTTATTCTTGTTCAGATTTCAGCAATTACCTTTCAGTGATCAAATAGTGGTATAACTCCTTTCTCTCCTTCCTTAGCTGGCACCATGAGGCGCTAACTGTTTTCTTTGGATTGAGGCAGAAAAAAACATGGTCTACAGCTCTCAAAAATCAAGTGAGAGAAACATGAAAACCAGCAGGAAGTTGCAGAGAAAAGAAAAGAAATCAGATGGGGAGGGATGCATGCTGCAAAGTCTTATTTTCTTATCCGGAGTGGTAGAATTCCTATCATTTTAAGATGATTCAATCCCCTCTTCAGCATCTTAAAACCTAACCAATTTCCTTCTAATTTCATCTTCAATTAAATCTCTCATTTTAGCACTTTTCAATTCAGTTCATGGTCCAAGAAAACTTTATATTGGTTCGTAATCCCTCAAATTAGACCTGCGAACTTGGGCTAACCCCTTCTTGCGACAGGATTCTCTACTTTCACCTTAGATATTTAAATAAGAATATCTTGAACTTCTGATATCGAAATCAAGATATTCAAAAACCCAAATTCATTTACACATACAGGACTATAACTTTTATGAAGGATTCAAAGTTAGATAAAATCATTTTGAAGAACAGAATTGCAGAAACTCATGCCTAAACCCTTCTCATGGCAGAATTCTCTACTTTCATATTAGATATTCAAACGGAAATATCTTGAGCGTTTGACATTGAAATCAGGTGATTCAAAACCTTAAATTCATCTAAACGTACAAGAATACAACTTTCATAAGGATTCGAAGTGAAATAAATTCGTTTTGAAGAACAAAATCTGGCCACAACCTGGTTGGTTAAAAGGATCTCCTGATTTGATTAAGGAAACTGACAATACCGAGCACCCCAATCTAATTGAGAGTCTGCCATAAGAACAGTGAGCCCTATGACCCAATAAAAGTATAGGTCAATTCTTCAACATATCATGAGTGACAAAATATAACTGGGATGGTTAGATATTACATGAAACCAAGTCAGAATCAAGGCCTAAGTTGAAACAAAAAATTATGACAATAGCAGAATCAGTTTTTTTAGTGCAAATTTTAAGGGATTTATCAAACCTTAAAAACCAAATAAAGAAGGAACGAATTTAGCATTACGAAGACTCCTAAACAATCTAAGAAACCTAATGATTTTGATAGTAAAGGAGTAGAATAAAGATGATAAAAAAACAGCTCAAAATGGGTTCGAAAAACATTTCTTTTTTCTCTGTTTTTGTCAATTCCTCAACAATCATGAACTAAACTCCTGCATTTTGTTTAAAAGATGTATACATCGTTTCCAGTATATGGGGTTCAAAAATGAGTTACAACGAAGTTGATTCAAATCAACTCTAAAAAGATTCTAAAGGATCTCAATGGAGAGTTTTATGCTTTTTTATCAATTAATTACCATAAAAAAATATTGCTTATGAGAATGAATGGTAGTATTTCACATTGTCTAGGTCAACTCGTTTATGCGTATCATGCAATCTTATCTTTTAAATTCTAATGGACCATATAATGGGACAATTGAACATCATAAAATAACATCTGTCTATTTTTAGGTAAGATAATTTAATTAAATTTTAAGTTGGAATTCTTGAAGCACCTTTCAAGACTTGTTGTATAGTACTAATATTTACATGGAAAGTAACAAACATGTTATTTAGACCACATGTTATAAGAAATTATGATATGCAAAACTATATTAGTAATCGAGTTACTCACTTTAATTTGCATATTGGCCATCCTATAAGTATTGATATGACATAATATTAATACAGACAAGGACTAATCTTTTGCCTTTGTTACAATAAATAACTTATAACTTGAAAATTAGATGGTGTTCATACATAACAATACATGATATATGCATTAACTTCAATATTTTGGATAAAATTAATAAAGAATACCCTAATAAATTATTGATTTATCGATTATCTAATAACTTGATTAACTAATAAATTTTCACGGTCCTAAAAGTATTAATTTATAGAGGCTTAATTGTGCTTTCATTTTATATTTCAAGTCAACATAATATAGCATATCAATCAAAACACAACATTTGATACAATAAAAAAAAATTATAATTTTTTTTTAAAAAAATTATTTTATGCTCCCTCTGTGGTCTTAGGTTTGAGTCCTTGGTTGCTCATATGATGGTCACTGGAGGCTTATATGGGCGTTAACTTCAGGACCCGTGGGATTAATCGTGGCGCACGCAAGTTGACCCGGACACCCACGTTAATCTAAAATAAAAAAAATTATTTCAAACAAACATGTTCAAATCAAGTAGTTGTTATTATAAACAACCTTCTATATATGTATACATTGTAAGAAGAAACTAATTCAAAAATAAAATATTTAATTAGTTTTAGTTGTTTCTAAAGCAACATAGTTGTATTTTTTGAAGCGATTATTGTAAAATATGATATACAATCTACTGAAAAAGATAGGGAAGAAAATATATGAAATTTTCTCCAATTAGATTGAGATTGATGGTAATAAGTTGATTCAAATCAATTCTAGAAAGATTTTAAAGGATTTCAATGGAGAGTTTTATGAATCAATTACCACAAAAAACATTGTTTAAGAGAACGAATGATGATATTTCACATTGTCTAGGTCAACTTGTTTATGAATACTATATAATCTTATCTTTTAAAGTCTAATGGACCACATGATGGGACAATTGAACATCATCTAATAACATCTATCTATTTTTAGGTAAGATGATTTAATTAAATTTTAAGATGGAATTCTTAAAATAGCTTTCAAGACTTGTTGTGTATTACTAACATTTAAATGGAAAGTAATGAATATGTTATTTTCACCACTTATTATAAGAAATTATGATATATAAGACCATACAAGCTATCAAGTCACTTACTTTAATTTGCATGGTGGTCGTGCTAGAAGTATTGATATGACACAATATTAATGGCCATGAGTTTTGATATGACACAATATTAATACAAACAATGACTAATTATTTGTTTTTGATACAACAAATAAATAACTCGTAAGTTGAAAATTAAATAATATATACATTAACTTCAAAAATTGAATTAAACCATATGATGAGAAGGCTTTACACCACATATCAAGATTATGAAATTTATTATATTTAAATAGATACTTCCATGGTAACCATATAAGCT